CCTGGAGCCCCTTCAGGCACTGGAAGCTGCTCTAAGGTCTCCCTGGAGCCTTCACTTCTCCAGGCTGAACACCCCAACTCTCCCAGCCTGGCTCCAGAGCAGAGCTGCTCCAGCCCAATAATCATTTTTGTGGCCCTTCTCTGGACCCTCTCCAACAGCTCCATGTCTTTCCTGTGCTGAGGGCTCCAGAGCTGGACACAGCACTCCAGGAGGGATCTGAGCAGAGCAGAGGGGCAGAATCCCCTCCCTGGCCCTGCTGGCCACACTTCTTTTGATGCAGCCCAGGACAAATTGGCCTCTGGGCTCCATCACTCACTGGCAGCTCATGTTGAGCTTCTCATCTCCTCCCACCCCTGGGTCCTTTTCCTTGGGACTACTCTCTAGTCATTCTCCCCATAGCCTGGATTTGTGCCTGGGGTTGCAGGACCTTGCACTTGGCCTTGTTGAACTTCATGAGGTTGGCACTGGCCCACCTCTCCAGCCTGTCAAGGTCCCTCTGGATGGCCTCCCTTCCCTCTAGGGTGTCAGCCACACCACCCAGCTTGGTATTCTCAGCAAACTTGCTGAGGAGACACTCAACCCCACTGTCCATGTCTCCAGCAGAGATGTTGAACAGCACTGGTCCCAGTCTTCTAAGTTTCTGCATGCACCTGGTTTTGTCTCCTCATTTTTGATACCAGTTAGAGAGCAGGATGGCAGGACTAAGTTTCTTCTCCCTGTCCTGTGGATCCAGTGCATTTTGTGGGCATCAAGTCCTAGCAGCTCCTGCCTGCTGCAGGACTGTGGTGTTGGCATTACCTGTCAGGACACTCTGGGGGCTTCAGGGCTCTGAACTGCTCTCGTAACGACTGCTGGGGTTGTCTGAGGAGAAAGCAAACATGTCTTGGCTGTTGGGTGCAGATGGCTGGTGGTGCTGGCTTTGCAGTGTGTCTGCTGTTCTTGCTGGATAGATGACATTCTTTCAGAAACCTTTCGTGGTTGGTGACAGGTCAAAATTGCCCTGCAGAATATCAGACAAACATGGGTTTTGGTAATGATGTGCTGCTGGGTGCCTGGGCTGGTCCTGGTGGCTGGTGATGGAGCAATGGGAAAACTATAATGACTAGGTCTGCTTTTATTAACAGATCATTTCAAGTCTGCCCAGGTGGTGGTGGAATGAGGGTGGGTGGTATGTTGGTGGGAGCCTGGAGAGGATGGGCAGTGGGATTTCTGGCTCCAGCAGCTGTGAGTTCTGTGCAAAATCCCCATCTCCTCCTTCCTGCTGCTCCTGGAAGTTCATGGTGTTGGAGCTGCACCTGTAGCTGGTAAAATACATAAGGGAGGAATTTCAGGCAGGTCATGCAGTAATGATGTGAAGTCAAACTTGTAAATAAGGTTTAATTTTGAAATAAGGAAGCCTATCATCACCTGCAAGCCTTTACTTCAGTACTGTGACTTTAATTGTACACACCCAAACTGGAGAACTTTTGCTTATATCTTAATTGTGATGCTGGTCTCTGAAACTCACTGGTTCTCTGCCCTGGAACCAATTATCCTAAGACTGTGTAATTTAAAACATGTTCAAATTAAATAGCTGAAACACAGCATCATGGCTGGACTCACAAGCTGCTTGGACAGCTAGAGCTGTTTTTTCTCTGAAACCTCCCTCCCCTGCTTTGGGCAATGAACTGGCACCTGCCTGTAAGACATTCTTCCTAGTGGGTTGCTTTTATCATCTGAATAACTTGATTCTGTCTTGCCCATCCTTTTAATCAAAATCAACACCAAGAGAAGCAGGATGTCTGACTTGTCAGAGAGTCAATTTGACAGCTTGATTGGCCTTGCTCAGGTATTCATGAAGGGCTGCTGGAGAGAGCGGGGGGAATGGAAGGGAAGGCTAACAGTGCTCCACTTTGCCTCTCCTGGCATGCAGGGAATGGAACTTGTTTTGGTGCACAGATGTTTCTGCAATTCCTAGAACATGGGCAGGATACCTAGAAAGAGTCCCAGGGCTCAGAGGACTGTCCCAAGGCAGCAGAGTTCCTCAGTTTGTCCAGGATGCCCCTGCCAGAAACAAAGGGCCTGAGCTTCCCTGCTTGGTAAATAATCTCTGATCTGTGCCTGGGAATCAGCAGGGCTGGGTTACAGGCAGTGTTTTCTGATGGGAGTTGAAACTGGATGCTGGAGTAAGTGCTTTGTACTTTCCATGGCCTGTCATGAGTTTTGTTGTAAAAGCAGAGCGACTGTTACTCATTAAACCTCTTTAACTTTTGAACTCGCCTTCAGCAGCAATTTTGCATTCTGATCATCTGTTCTCTGAGGGGAATGGTTTGCCCTGCAGAGCTGAGCTCCACAGAGCTGAGGAGTCTGGATCCAGAGGTGTGACAAGGACCTGTGGACAATATAAATAGCACAGAACCGTGTTATAAGAAAATAAATCTAATCCACACCTATTTTTTTCCTTGTTGCCCGTGGCTTTGTGAACCTAAGTAATGACTGTGTTTGGGGCTACACAAAATACAAGGATTAAAAAAATATCCAGCTGCTCCACTCTGGGTTTCAGTGGATTACTTAATGAGCCAGTCAGATTGCTGTACATGCTCAGATTGCTCTATATGCAAAATGATGTCTGGCTTCTCGTGGCCAGACACTGCAAATTCACACTGAAACTTGAAAGCAAAGCTTTGTTCCCTCTGCATTCCCTGGGCACTATTGGTCATAGCAGCCAAAATTCAGTTTAAAAACTCACCAACATCAAGAATCCAGCCCAACTCCCAAATAGCATCAAGCTGCATTGCTTTGCAGCAAGTGTGAATAAAAATAAGAAATGCTATATTTACATTTAAGCCTCTTTAGAGCCTGTATTTGGGTAGAACATGTGGGCAGTTTAATATGTAAAGTTGAGCATATAGACAGTGTTTGTCAGCTCAGGGCACTGGGCACTAAAAATAAAAAAAAGAAAATCTCTGAGTAGGATGAAAGAGAATATTGTTGACTAACTGGTATCATCTTTATGCATGTGCATGTTCTAAAATAAGTCTGGGCTTAGTAACATCAGTTGAGTTTTTAAACATTCCTTTTGGTTGTCTCTTTCTCAATCATCTTTCAAAATCGTGTTTTAAAACCAAGTTGCATGTTGCATTCCTGAGCTCCTCAGCATGATTTCTATTTTTGTGGGTTTATTTTTGGTAGAGAAGTCTGATATGGTGACCTACATTTCTTTATTTGAGCTAGATGGGGAGGATATCTCCACCTCCATTTCTTTCATGCTTCTGCTGAAAGGCTTTGTTTTACAGTACATTTTCCAGGCACATGAGATAAGATGGAACTGCAGGTAGTAATTAGAAATAATCAACAGTCTGTGTTCTTAGAAGTCATTTAATGAAGTGCTCTGCTCTGTACATTTTCAAGCTGAAAGAGGAGAGATTAAGCTGAGATATTAGGAGGAAATTCTTGAGTGTGAGGGTGGTGAGAGCCTGGCCCAGGTTGCCCAGGGAAGCTGTGGCTGCCCCATCCCTGGCAGTGTTGAAGGGCAGGTTGGATGGGGCTTGGAGCAACCTGGGCTGGGGGGAGGGGTCCCTGCCCATGCAGGGGGGTTGGATCTGGATGATCTTCCAAGTCCCTTCCATCTCAAACCATTCCATGATCCTATTAATCATATTTGGTTTTGATCCTTATGGGAATTTTTGTTCACATGATGGAACCAGGCTGCTGGGATAGAACTTTCCAGGTGCAAACGTTGGTGCTGTTCAGGTCGTGCTTTGGACTATCAGCTGTTCCTTTTCATTACATTTTTAGAGTTATTACTCTCTGAGCAACATCCTGTGATCTCTTCTTTTCAAAAACACCCTCAGGAGCTGTAAACACATTGATATGTGTCTTCCCAAAGCTCCAGCAAGTGATGTCTGGCATTAAAGATACCCAGAGGTGTTTGTCCTTCCTTGGAGCGAGCGTGTGGGCCGTGCACAGCTTCATCATCACAAATTGGTCATGCACGAATACAGACAGAGCTGATCTGTCTCCAGCTCTGCCTCAACATCCCTGCTGCAGCTGAGGGGCTTGGGAAGTGAAGTCTGGCACTAATTTATGAGAGCGGTGGGGGGAAAAAAATAGGTCAGCAAGTATGAAAGGTGCTGACAAGCATATAATATCCAGAAATTGTTAAACAGGAAAGAAAACCAGTCTGAAGGCAGCCTTTCCAAGCAAGCTGTTGTGTGGGTTCCTGAGGTTTCCCAGGCATCAGAGAGGGGCAGAGGTGAGGTTGCTGGAGGACACAGGGGGTGGCTGTGGTAGAGGTGGGGAGCAGTTGGGAATCAGGCAAGGGAGAGAGCAGGGATCACAGCAAGAAACATGGGAGCAAAGTGCCTGGAGGCCCTGGCCACAAGCAGACATGCAGTGCAGCTGTGCAGAGAGGGAGCTCTGAAATCCCTGCTCTGCTGCTGCAGTTGGATCACTCACATCATCAGAACAGCCCTCACGGCACGTGTGAGCCATTGGATCTGCCTCCTGCCTAAAATACCCTCCAGCTGCCTTCAGGACTGACTGCTCTGGCTATTTTTTCCCATTTTCCAAGGCTGGGTTTTAAATTTCATTGTTGCCTTCTCCAGTATCAAGATGCTGAGCAGTCAGACTGAGCAGCAACCAAACTCCTCACTGCAAGTGATGGGAGAGGATGGAGCAGGATCTGATTCTTCTCTCTAGAAACAATGGATATTTAGCTGTTGAAACTTGCAGCTCAGCTCCTTGTGGGCTGAAGAGAGTGAATATGATCAACCCAGTTTTTACATAGCACCAAATTACCCCTACACACATACACTTGCACCTTAAAGGAAGGAATTGGCACCAAGATCCTAAATACTCTTCTTGGAGCTTGGGAGAGGGGTTTTTCTACTGAAAAGGGTCCTGGGAGTGGGTGTCTCCTCTTTCCTCAGCTCTTTATTCCCTGCCTATATCTTAACACTTTGTTCTTGTTTTCAATTTAGGAGCCCTAGCTCTTCTGCCCACTTGTAAGTGCAACTGGTATGGGTAATGGTGTGAGAGAAGGTCCAGTGGATTTCAAACAGCAGGATGTGGAGCCAGTTCCATCAGCCCATCTTCCCCCAGAGGTAAGAGCAGGAGATGCTGGATAGATGCAGTGGGTTTGAGAGGAGAAACTGCACAGTGACTGCTGTCTGAAGGAGGCATCTCAGTGGGGTTTGGGCTGCAGAGTCCTTGCAGTTGATGTGTAAGCCACATAACGTGGAGCTTTGCATTCTCTGAGGACAGCCAAGCAGTTCCAGGCCCCTGGGGAGAGGCAACACTCTCAGCTGACAGGCAGGCAGGGCTGTGCTCCCTCCTCAAGGTTGTGGCAGAACTGGGAAGGGAGCCATAAGTCCCAGTTTCTCTCCTCTTGCTGCTGTTGCTGGACTCGTTAGAAACACTGGAAGAGAAGGTGACACTGAACCTTGGTCTGATTTAGAGCAGGACTCAGGCTGAAGTTCACATGGTGCTTCCTTTGCATGGCTGCCCCCTTTGGCACCAGGCAGGCAGAGACTGGGAGGGAGGATGGAACAGGGCCATCTGGTTTTGGTAATAAACATTAACTTTTTAGTTGTGAAACATTCTGAAAAAGAGAGAGAAATGTGGATGCCTCTTCTCCATGAAAACTCCAAGCATATGAGAAGTTGATGTTCTTAAGCCTTGTCTTGACCTGCCTTTCAGTCTCTAACCTTCATGGTGTTGGATTTCAAGCTGTTTACCTCCTTGCTGCCCATGTGTTAGGAGAAGATAACTGCTTCCTAAATATGAGCTGTGGCAGCAATGTCAATAGCAAACCCACTTCCATCCCATTTATCATAGTCTTGTTTTGTTCTTAAGATCTTGGGAACAATGTGGAGATAGGGCTTGTGTGTCACTGGAGGGACAAGAAAGAAACTTCCCTTCTCTGTGTGCCTCACTCATGAGGAGGTGGTGGTTTAGCTCTTAGACATCTGAACAGGGAGAAAACAATCCATGTACAAGGTGACAGACCTTGGAGCTTGGCATCTTGGCAGACAAGTCTAGTCTTTGTGCTCCATGATCTGACCAGGGATTCACTGTGCTGGAAATTTTGATCCAGGTCCTTGAGAGAGGGTAAATGCTGCAGCAAAGGTAAAATATGACAAAAATATGACAACTTTTGCTTAGGATTCACTGTGTCATACTGAGCAGTGCTTTGTTCCAGGATAACCAGGAGAATAAGAAGGTACTCAACTCCCTGATGTCTGGGGCATTGGCTGGTGCTGTTGCTAAAACTGCAGTAGCTCCACTGGATAGGACAAAAATCATGTTTCAAGGTGAGTCCTGTTGGCTTTTGAAAAATGCTCTGACTTCTTTGTTATGAGAATCCAACCCAGCTTCTCTGAGGTGCTCAGCCAGCCTGTTCCCCAGAGCTTTGCCCTCCTTGGGTCCCCAGGGGCCTGGCAGGATGCAGACTAGTGATGTTGCTGCAAGGAATCCAGCCCAAAATCCTATTGTTTGATTCCTGGTAGGATTATTGCAGGTGTCAGTCAGCCCTGCATCTGGCCTGTACTGCTGGAGTCAAGACTCATGGTCATCAACAAGAGTTCTGCTATTTCAGTGTGACTCAGGCACACGTGTCAATGGGTAGAGAGGGGACCTGTGGCTCCTGAGTGTTGGCCACATGGTTCTGTGACAGCAGGGAGAGTTTTAGAGTGCACAGACACTGTGAAGGCAGCGTTTTGGGGGTGACTGGGAATACTCTGGATTTCTGTGTGTCTTAGTTGGAGAAATAAGGTGGGGAAGGACAAGGAGCAACATAAGGAGACGTACACTGAGCTGTAGTTTGACATGGAGCTGTCAGAGTGAGTCCAGAGGATCCAAGGGCTGGAACAGCTTTGCTCTGAAGACAGACTGAGAGAGTTGGGGGTGAGAAGGCTCTGGGGAGACCTTAGAGCAGCTTCCAGTGCCTGAAGAGGCTCCAGGAAAGCTGGGGAGGGACTTGGGACAAGGACAGGGACTGATAGAATGAGGGGGAATGGCTTTAAACTAGAGTTGTTCAGTGGGATTTGGGATTCAGCCCCATCCTGGGCTCTGTTCAGTTGCCTTGTGTCAGTGCAGGAGCTGTCAGCTGCAGACAGTTAATGCAGGAGCCATTTGGTGAGGCCAAGAATTTAAAATCTGGTTGACGTCCCAGATTAAATGAATTGGATAGGTTTAATCTAATCCCTGGATGAGATTTAATTTTGAATTGACTTCGATTTGACATGATTTTCATTCTCAGCATAGCAGGGGCTGAGGTCTGGCCTAGCAGGGATATAGATCAGGGAGTTAAAGCTGCAGGGAGATAAATCCTGGGCTGGGATTGTGTCCCTGAGCAGCTGCTGTGCAGTGGTGGGTACACGCTGTGCTGCCTCACCAGCAAAACACCTCAGGTTCATCTGAGGTTGGAAAAGTCAGGAGCAGAGGTGAGATGGAAACTGCAGAGCTGGGGTGAATCAACAGCTGTCTGCATAAATCACCTTTAATTTGTACAGGCCTGTGTTTAGAAAAAGACCTGCTTGGTTTTGCCCATTAAACTTGCTGCAAAGGATGGGATTCAAACGTGCCCATTCCAACCAATTTTTTAGTATCTAATGGATTATTTAGTCTCTTCCTCTCCTAAAGGTTTTTACTCTGAGGCATCTTCCTTGTCTGTGAAGACAAGGGTCATTTGAGTGTAGGAAGATTGTCCCTTGAACTAGAAACTGAAGGATTTTCCTGTGGGAGAGAGAAAAGAGCCCTTTTCCATCACTGAGCCAGCTGCAGCTGGTTATGGAGGTGTTGGGTTTTTTATAAAACAACAACAAAAAAAAACCCCACAGAAAAAGTGTTGAATTGCATAAAGGGGCAGCGTGGTGAAAATCTATTTGCATGTGATTGTTTGATACACTTGAGAGGTTACAAGTCTCAAAGGAGTTTGAAAGAAACTGCAACAGACACTTAATTGGAACCATGTTTCATTAGTGTTGCTGTGCAGGTTTTAGCCTGGGTTTCCATCCTGCTGTAGGAATGTTACAAAACAGAGCTGCTGGATGCCAAATAAATCTGGCTTCCAAATGCCTTGTGTGTTACACAGTTAAGGAGATGCTGTCAGTTTGAATGGAGGCAAGAGAAGGAACTTGGGTGTTCATTTGAGTTGTGCTGGGATGAAACTGTTCTTGTGTGGAGCCCCACGGAACAAACCCTTCCTTGGTTGGATTCTGGCATTAGTCTGGAACCTGCTCTGCTAATATAAGTGGTCTGGGCAGTTTTGATTGGGTTTTTAATGTATTTATTTATTTTAAGTTACTTTTAGTGCTTTAAATTGAGAAGTGTGACACAAACAGTAGGTGGAAAGATGAACCTGTGTGTTAAAGAGGCAATTACCAGTAGAAAATCTGTGTTTATTATAAAGAACCTGTATTTTCTCTTGCATTCATTCTTTTGCTTCCATTTTTATGCCCTAGATAAAATGCCTATCTAGTTTATTTCATCCATCTACATGTCTTGCAAGACCTAATGCTAATTTTTTTTGCTTTTTAGTGTCTTCAAAAAGATTTTCTGCCAAGGTGAGGTGATGTGTCTGTCTCTTGTTGACCTGAAGTGTTTGATGAATGGTAGTAATAGCCCTAACAGCATCTTTTGTTTGCATTTATTGAACTTCCTTGCTTGGGTTTTGTTAGCAGCACTCACAGTGGAAGAGCATAGAGGGAATTACTGTTTATAACACTGCTCTGGACAGTGCCCTTCTATGTTCATGTTTCTGTCCAGCACAGAGAGGCCTCAGTTCTCATTTGTACTCCAGGTTCTACCTGTGACCTGGTGTTGTGGCATCACTCAGGGCTTTGTTTTTTTAGCCTTCCTCTGGTGGTTGGGTTTTCTTCCTCCCAGCCCCCATTGGAGCTGTTACAGCATGTGCAGGAAATGAGAGTTTGGGAGCAGATCTCTTGCATGGCTTGTTGGGTGCTCTGCACCAGGGCTGTTCCCTGGGTGCTCTGCTAATATGTATAATCCAAATGGTTCTGTCTTAAACTAAGAAGATTAATTTGGGTTGAGGGATGGTTTGTGAAAACAGCAGTCCAGCTCTCTGCCTTGCCCCCAGAGGGGAAATGAAGATGTCTAGGATCTCAAACTCTCCTGTCTGCCCAACTCCAGTCCTTTTTTGCTCTCATTTATCTGATTCAGCCTCCCCAGAGAAGACTATTTAGTGTCTTGTTCTGGAGCCAGGGCTGTGAACAGCTGTGGGGTGGGACTTGGAGAGGTTAAGCTATAGGGTCACCTTCCCCCCCCTGGATTGTTTCGTCTCCCTCTTATCAGGATCTCCCTGTCTGAGCCTTGGTCTGTGTCCTGCAGGAAGCCTACAGGCTGATCTATCGCACCTACCTCAACGAGGGCTTCTGGAGCCTGTGGAGAGGGAACTCAGCCACCATGGTCCGGGTCATCCCCTATGCTGCCATCCAGTTCTGTGCCCACGAGGAGTACAAGCAGCTCCTGGGGAGTTACTACGGCTTCCAGGGAAAGTAAGATGCAGTGTGGCTTTGGTCCCTGCAGAGGAGGATGGAGCAGTTGGTGGGGCTGCAGGGAGGGAGCAGGTCTGTGCTCTGCAGGCCTCCTGGGTTGGAAGCTCTGGGACAGAGCTGTGGTGGCTTCACAGAGCAGGGTGTGTCAGGGGGCTAAGCAGAGGGCTGGGCTTCTGGTCTTGCACAGGGGAGATCTTTGTGAGGAGGTGAGCGCATGAGCAAGAAGTGGCCTAAACATTGAGTTAGCACTGCCCTGTGCTGAGCGTGGGCAGGCAAAACAAAGAGCTTTTCTTTGCAGGAGAAGCTACAAGATCCAGCCTTGTGCTGCTATCTGAGCTGTGTGTGTGGCCTGGGCCTCTTGCTCTTGGGCACACAGTGTCTGAGACACCCCAAGTCAGGCTTGCTGCCCTCAACACAGCTTTTCTCCAGAGCTTCCTCCTGGGGTGGCTGTGACAAACCACAGCTGCTTCAACCCCCACCCACCCAACTCTCTTTCAGGCAGGGCAGGGATTCAGTAGCTGATAGAGCAGAGCCACCCCCAGAAGCCCCATGGTGTGTCCATCTCCAGGTGATGTGTTTGGTCTCTTCTCTCACCTCACTGCAGAGCACTGACACCCTTTCCCCGGTTCATTGCTGGCTCTCTGGCAGGCACCACAGCTGCCATCCTCACCTACCCCCTGGACATGGTCCGTGCTCGAATGGCTGTCACACCCAAGGAGATGTAAGTGCCTAAGGAAAGCAGGTACAAGCACCACCACCAAATGCAGACTTTTCTTTTTTTCAGGTCAGAGGACTTTATTCCCCTTTTCTGGGTCACTTCTTGCTCAGAGCCTTTGGTGTAATAAACCTCTTACTGCAGGGCTCTGAGCACTGATTAAATAACCAGAGTCCTGGTTGTTCCAGGGGCTGGAAGGAGATCAATACTGAGAGGCCTCACTAGTGAAACCTGTGTGCTGGCTCTTTAGGAGGCTGCTGGCACCAAGCCTGCAGAAGAGTTGTGTGTTGTGATAGGGCTCCAGGAGAGCTGCTGACTGGCTTCTCCATTTGCAGACAGGCTTCTGGAATCCCCTCTGAGCTGTTTGACGAGTTCAGAGCCGAATGAATTAATTGCTGATCCTTCAGAAAGGCCTGTTGGAAATGTGACTGGTGTGTGCAGCCACTAACCAGCTCAGGTTTGGTTTCCCTGTGTCCACATGCCAGGTACAGCAGTATTGTTCATGTCTTCATCCGGATATCCCGAGAGGAAGGATTGAAGACATTGTATAGAGGGTTTACACCAACCATCCTTGGAGTGATTCCATACGCTGGGCTCAGCTTCTTCACCTACGAGACACTGAAGAAAATACATGCAGGTAAAGGCACCTTGATTTCTTAGAAGCATGAAATGGTTTGGGTGGGAAGAGACCTTAAAGATCATCCAGTCCAACCCCCCTGCATGGGCAGGGACACCTCCCACCAGCCCAGGTTGCTCCAAGCCCCATCCAACCTGCCCTTCAACACTGCCAGGGATGGGGCAGCCACAGCTTCCCTGGGCAACCTGGGCCAGGCTCTCACCACCCTCACACTCAAGAATTTCCTCCTAATGTACAACCTAAATCTCCCTCATCCAGTTTTAATCCATTCCCCCTTGTCCTGTCACAACACACCTGTGCAAGAAGCCTTTCAGATGGAAGATGTGGGCTTTTGGCCAACTGGAGGTGCTTGAATTCAGTGGCACGAGCCCTTTCCCTGGCCTTGAAGCCAATTGCAAAGTTCTGTGCTGGCACAGGATGCCTTGTGCCTCCCTCTCTGCAATTCCAGACTACAAAGAAGACAAGTTGCAGAAAAGCAGTGTCTGTGTTCTGCAGAGGAACAAGGAGGTGCAAGTCCTGAGTGCAGAAGGACTTGGCTCCACAGCCAGTCAGTGAACAGGATCTCGGGAGCTCTGGCGCTCGGTCCTCTGGCTCTCAGCCCACTTGACCTTAGCTGTGTGTTCATTACAAGGAGCTTTCTACACTCTGCTACTTTCTCTTTCCCAGATCACAGTGGGAAATTGCAGCCATCCCCTCCGGAGAGGCTTTTGTTTGGTGCCTGTGCAGGCTTGATTGGCCAGTCAGCTTCTTACCCCCTGGACGTGGTTCGCCGACGGATGCAGACGGCGGGGGTCATGGGACACACATACAGTTCCATCCTTCTCACCATGCAGGAGATTATCAGAGAAGAGGGACTAATCCGAGGCTTGTACAAAGGACTCAGCATGAACTGGGTCAAAGGTCCAATTGCAGTGGGAATAAGCTTCACAACCTTTGACCTGACGCAGATCCTTCTCCGTAAATTACAGCACAGCACTAATGTTGAAAGGTAGTAGCTTAATCCCCACAGCCCTTGCTGGGGAAAAGTGCAACACGTGTAGAAACAGCAATGCTAGTGTCCCCTCACTTTGTACCTGCTCTCCTGCAGCCCACAACTTACCTTTCTTGTTTGGTTGTTTGGGTTTTGGTTTTTTTCCCTATTGTTGGATTTATTTTTTTTTTTCTTTTTAATGAGCCTCTGAGTTACTTGGAAACCTCAACCTGAAACTAACTTTTTCCTAAGCAAAATCCTTACAGTTCTGCAGAACTGAGTCCTCTAAAGTAGCTGCCTCCCCCTTCTGTTTTACTCTTTGATTCCAGGAGTGGAGCCTCTCAAACAAACCTGTGCTGCTGCTGGCTCCTCACCTGGGCTCTGTGGGCAGATGAAGGGGTGGATGATGAAAGGAAGGACTTGGTGCTGTGGGAATGAACCCCTGGGTCTGGGAAGTGACTGCTGCTCCTGATAGGCAGTTCTGAGTTCCTGAGCGTATCTTAGCTGGGAGCAGTCTGCCAAGTGCAATATTCCAGGTTAGTCTCTTGGGAATTCCAGATTCCTCTGACCTGTAAGCGTTGGTCTCCATGAAGCAGGACACAGCAGGATTGAACAGGTCCAGGTTTTGTTCTGGAAGTTGAATGTGAGTTCCAGCTGGACATGCTGCCCTTTTTCAAATGTTCTTCTCATTTTCTGGGTTTTGTTGCATAAAACATCCCCTGCTTCCCATGTCCCTCTGAGATTACCAAAGACTGTAGACAGCAGGGGAGGGAAGTTCCGAGTGGTTTTGTAAATCAAGTTCTGGTGTTTGTTGTCAGTGTTGCTGAGCAGGGGCTGTGCCTGGATTCACAAACGGGATTGGATCAAACTGCACTTGTGCTTTTGGGCTGCCCAAACCCTTCCCATGTTGTCGTGGTCTTCAAGGCAGCATTTGCTGAGGGATTGGACAGACTGTAGCATCAGTGCACTAGAAAACAAGTATTACAGACTCCAAACATAAGCAGTTTTATCCTTCAGTATTATTGTTGCTGCTTTCAGTGTGATGCAAGAACAAACATCTCCAAGCTGTGAGATGCAGACCTCGCTGTCCCACCAGGCTGTTCACGTCTGGTGAGCTCCTGGCCCTGCTTCTGAACAACCTTGTTGTCTTTTGGTGTGTAGATTCATTAGTCCACACCTAAACCCACCTGCTTTTTCTCCTGGAGTTCTCCTGGCCCAACTGTGTCCTTGGGAGAACAGGCTCCACAACCAGTATTGACCTTTCAGAAACCATACATAGTGCCAATCATTTCCAGTTGCAATTTCAAATCCATATTCAAAGAAATGGGAGGTTTGGGGGTGGTTTTGTTTTCTGTTCTATCCCTATATTAAATGTGAAGTGCAAGAGAGATCAGAGCAAGCTTTAGACCTCTCTGAGAAGCAGATTACATAAACTAAGATTGAAAATCCCTTTCCAGCTGATACAGCCTGAAATGTACAAAAGAAAAACAAGGCATAATTTAACAGCTGTCCTTTTCTAGTGTGTATATTTTAGCCATTATAGTCTGAGCCTTGTGTCATGGCTTTATTGATGAGGCTGGAGGTAATTGCACAATTGGTAGGAATAGCTTTCTCCTTTCTTTTGTCTTTGCACTTGTTCTTTGAAGCATAACTCGCTTCTAATGCCAAATATTTCCCGAGGAATTGAGCACCTACACTTCCATTTTGTGGCCATGGCAGAGAGCCAGTGTACTGAAGTATTGGTGTGCATGTTGTTCCCAGAACACGTGGGATAGATCCTGCTTTAATGGTTGTGGATGGGCGGGGTGTTCACCTCAGTCATTCCTGCCTCTGAGCCCACAAGGGATGATTTCCCTCGTGAAACTTGCCCACAGTCACTGATTCACCTTGTAATGAATGTTAGGTGGTGTTTTAAGAGTCTTTAAAGATGACAGCCATGACTTCTGTCTATTTTTTGCTCCTGTTGCAAGTGGAAGGTGCTCAGCTGCTCTCTCCACTGGAGTGAAGTTTTGTTTAGTCCTTTACAAGAGTGCTGATTTCTTTTCTCCAATGGAGAAGCCAATTACTTCTGCTCTTCTCTTTACCTTGTCTGGCCCAGGGAGGAAATACCAGGGCAGCTGCACCCTGCCCCAGAAGGGAGGTGCAGGGCAGCAGCTGGGTGTGTCAGCAGCTGGTTGTGCCTGTGTGTGTGTGACTGGGTGTGCAATCCATGCCACATTCTCAGCTTGGAGGCTGCCTGTCCAAAGTGCAGTCCTTTCTGCACAGCCCATGGGTACTATGTGAAGACCAGAGGAAGCTGAGCTGTGGCATCCAAGTTAGAGCTCCTTTGCTCTGCAGGATGGTAGGTCAGTTCAGAGGCCAGCTCAGCAGACCTTGTCTTAGGAGGTGTTGAGCATCACTTAACCCCTGGGGCAACAGAGGTGGCTTAATTCCTCCTGGGTCCTGACTGAGAGAGGATTTACACTGGATAACAAGCCTCTTGTTTGGGACTGAACAGGAGGGTAGATCTGCACAGATTCTGCCACGTCAGGAGTGTTACACCAGGGGAAGGCCGTGGAGGAGGCATCACCCACCTTGCAGGCAGCTCCTCTGGAGCCCTGGGACTCTGAGCTGAGAAACAAGACCTGAAACACAGCCAGACTTGGAAGCACTGGGCTGAGACAAGTTGTTCCTTGATCAGCAGCTGCACCTGATTTTAATTAAATGGAATTTTAGCCAAACACCTTTGTCTAAGATTTGCAGGCTGAGGGTTTGTTCAGAGACAGATCTTTGAATTCTGTCTGTAGTGGTTTTGGTGCTTTTGTTTCTTGGGCAAAAGTGCTGAGACTGACTGTGTGTTACTGCTTTGGGTGGTTTCAAATAGCATTGTTGGTTGGGTTTTTTTTGCTTCTCTGATTTGAATGTAGAAAAGGAGAAACAGAGTGTTCTCTTCCCTCCTCTTAATCCTTGCATGAACTGAGATGTGTTCCAGATCTCTCTGCTGCCTGGAGTGAGTGTCTGAGGAGGCTGGGGCATGCTGATTGGGGAAGGGAGCTGCCTGTGTGCTGGCCAAGAAGGCCCATTGCCTTTAACTCTGAGGAAGGAGGCAAGTCTAAGGAGTATTGCCTAGTCCTTCTTTTCTTTAGAACTTCTTTACTACCCCAGATTCCCCATCTTTTGCATTTTATTCTTCCCAAATTCCTTGCTTTTACTTTTCAAGTCCTTTTTCTCACTGTTCCTGAATGCATTGCTGCCAAACACTGACTTGTGCTTCTTTTTTTTCCTTGTCTACTCTCCCTCCTTCTCTGCTTCTGCACTTTTAGTCCTGCACTAGCACTTCAAAAAAATCAGGTCCAATGAAATGCACCCAAAAATGACAAGAGTTGCAGCTTTGATAGTGATGCCCAGACAACCCAGCTCTGCCTCCCACTCACAGGCAGGGATGTTTGTGGGGTGGGGAAGGATGTTAAAGGCACTAAATGATGGGGCAGGTTTTGTTGTTTGGTTTGGGGTTTTGTTTTCTTTTGAATGTTCTTGCAATACTTGTCCATCCTGGCACCTTTCCTTCTCCTAGCACCTTCCTTCTCAAGCTGTGAAGTGCTGCTGCTTTTCTTTTCCTCTTTTGGTACCTCCACATGATGCCCACTTGCTCAGTGACAGGGGCTGCTTGCTGGGCTGGTTGCCCAGGGTTGAGGTGGTTCTTCTGGAAGCTTTGGAGGAGGGTCAGTTAGGGAGCTTGGAAATGTGAGAGGTGGGATCTGAGCTGATTTCTTGCCAACCCCTCTGCCCTGCAGGCCCCATGCAGAGCTCAGCTAGTTCTTGGGGGAGGTGGAGCTGCCTGGTGGTTGGCAGGACCGTGGTGGGAGGATCAGAGGAGGTGTCACAGCGGGTCAGTGTGGGGTGGCAGTGTCACCCCGTGGGAGCTGTCCCAGCAGCAGGGGCAGAGCTGCTGTGGAAATGTAGTGGTACTGGAGTTAATTTCTGATGGCCCTTCTGCCTGGAAGGGCTCGAGCACCGTCATCTTCACCCTCTGGTGTCTTTTAACACAAAAGCAGACGAGGCATGAAAGGAAACTTTGAGCAAAAGCACCGTGGCAACCCTGAGTGAGGCTGGTGCCCATCCCAGGAGGAGGAAACACCTCCCATCCCATTCCCAGCGCCTGACCAGGGCACTTGTGCTCCCCAGGGAGCCAGGGGGTGGGTCACAGCCCCTGCCCACCAGGACTGGGCCAGGGGAGGACGTGGCTTTCCTACAAAACAGCCTTGTTTTTTGGGTGGTAGGGGCTGGTTCCTCCCTGCTCCCCCTCGGGTGCTGCAGGGTTCCCCAGCACTGGGCACTGCCTGTGTGGTCTATGCATAAATGAGCACAAACACTGTTAAATGCCTTTTGTGTCCTCACCACCCCTGTGTGTGTGTGTGTGTGTACGTACATGTGTCAATTTTGACTGCTTTTCTTGGATCTGGAGTTCTATTTTATTGCAGTGAAAGACACTTTGTTATATAATGTTTATATATTTTAAGATTTGTGCCAAGAGAGGATGTATATTTAATAAAAAACGATCGTTGACTTTGCAGGCTCCCTGAGGGGTCTCCAGCTGGTGGGTTGGGGGGGGGCTGGTGCTTGGGGGGGGCACTGATCGAGGGGTCTTGCAAGGGTCTGGAGGGGTCTGGGAAGGGTCTGTGAGGGGTCTGGGAGAGATCTCGGGGGGTCTCGGCAGGGTCTGTGAGGGGTTTTGCAAGGGTCTGGAGGGGTC